ACTTTTTGTTATATTTTGACATGTAATTTAGTGTTTATCTTTTAAAATTTATAGCCATGAGTCGCAATTCATTTAAGATATTATTAAGCATGTTCAAAATAAACTCTTTCGCCCCACTTTATATGTTCTTCCTTATTTAGTTGGAATAGATTCTCTTGTGACACGCATTAATTGGTGGATTCAAGAAAATGGATCAAATAACAATGGCATTGCAACAATTTGTGGAATTGGAGGGATTGGAAAGATAACCATAGCCAAAGTCGCTTACAATCAAAACATGCAAAGATTTGAAGGTTATAGTTTCCTTGCCTATATTAGAGAAACAACTCAAAAGCAAAATGGCTTGGTTCGATTGCAAAGACAACTTATTTCAGATATCCTTAAAGGGAAATAAAAAAAAATCTACAATCCAGATGATGGAATTCTTAAGATCAGAGAAGCTATATGCTGCAGAAAAGTTCTTATTGTTTATGATCATGTTGATGATTTGGAAAACATAACTAAAATAATTGAAATGCAGATACCCTTTTTTCCCGGGAAGTAAAATCATCCTAACTAGAAGTCGTTGACATCCGCTAAGTGGTCCTTTCATCACCCAGATGTTTGATTTGAAAGCATCATCCAGTTATGGAGACTTATGCAGAGTATTTGAAGTAAAAAAAATTAGCTTTCAATGAATCACTTCAACTTTTTAACCGGTCTGCCTTCGGCCACAACTCTATAACTGAGAGTTTCATGGAGTATGCAAGCAATATAGTCAAATAATATGGTGGGCTTCCATTAGTTCTTCAAGTTTTGGGGTTCTTCTCTCTCTGGAAAAAAGTATGAGTGTATGGAAAAATGCATTGGAGAAATTGGAAGCAATCCCTGATAGCAAAATTCAAAAGATTCTACGAGTAAGCTATGATCCCTCCAAGATTATCATGATAAAAATTTATTCCTTGACATAGCTTGCTTATTCATTGGGAAGGATAGAAATTATACAACTATAATTCTAGATGGTTGTGGTTTTTATACAACAGTTGGAATTGAAAATCTCATAGGCAGATCTCGTAAATGTTAATGAAAAAAACAAGCTAATGATGCATCAAACGGTTAGAGATATGGGAAAGAAAATTATTCGCCAAGAATCTTTTGATCCTGGAAAACAAAGTAGGTTGTGGGATAAACATGCACTCAATGTAATAAGAGAAAAAATTATACGAGATTTTATTTTAATCTACTTTTTTCTTGTATTTATGTTTTACAGTGCTAGAAGGAGCCCAAGGAGAAGTGGCCAAGTGCTAGTGTCACGGACCTAAGGATGAGTCATGAATTCTACATTGAATATAAAAAGAGGGTCACTGGGATATAAAAGGGTTCACACCATCTCTTCCTTGTGAGGCACCTTTTGTAGGACAAAACCGTGAGGCCAGGGGGGCCAGAGTGAACAATATCTCACAAGGGTGTGAATCGTGGTGGGTAGGCTAATCTAAAATGTCGAATGAGTGGATGCCTAGGTCCTGGAGCCGCACGGGTTCGGAGCTTAAGTTTTGGCCCCTGACACTAGTCGAGATTGCCGAGGGGTTGGGACCTCTCAAGGAGTTGGTGAGGGTAAACCAATGGCAACCAAGTGTCACAGCATGAGTCTCAGAGTACAGCCAAATTTCTCATAGAAGAGTGTGTAGCGGGCAACTCAGAGAAATTGCAAACTTTGGATTGAAAGCAATGGAAGCTAGTTGAGTACATGTTCGGGTATGGGACCAAAATGTCAAAAAACTAGATCATGAGGCAAGAGTCAGAACTAACATGCAAGGTAAGCGCATCATCCCTTAGCAACGAAGGCATTGCTAGAATGAGTGTGGGAGAACGTCATAGTCTGCAAGTTGGTCCAAGCTCAGTGGTTCTCTCCAAGTCAAGTACCAGTTCAAGTTCTAGCAGGACAGAGTCTGACAACTATCATAACGTATAGATCCATGGACCCATCGCTATATATGGATTAGAGAAGTCACCATCAATCTTTTTTTGTTTAGGTGTGATTGGCCACCCGAAACAAATTTTGATCCACAAAACTAGATTTTAGGTTCGAGAGTATGGTTACGCGTGGATAAGGTTATAGTACCCCCACAAGCCCATCCAAAGGATGTCACCAATTTGATTTTAGATTATCCAAGCCTTAAAAATATTTATGTTTGCCACAATATTTAATATTGAGAATTAATCTTAAAATTACCCCAATAGTTTGGTAGCAATTTAAGATAATTCTCTCACCTAATAAGTATTCATGGAGACTAATATCCCACTCTGAAGAGGCTCCATTATCGGATTTATTAATGTATATTTATTCAAAAAAATTAGTAAAGTCTCCCAATAGTTTGATAGAACTTACTTTGAGGCAGATCTCCCAATAGTTTGGTAAGATTTTATTACAAAAAGATTTGTATAAATCTTGAGAATCTTATTAAGTCTCCCAATAGTTTGAAAATACTTAATTTAAAAAGCAATCATCCAATCGTTTGGAGGATGAAAACATTTTTTTAAAAACTAATTTTATGAAATTTCTCAATAGTGTGGTGGATTCTATAAAATTTAAATCCATGAAAATTCTCCAATAGTTTGGTAGGATTCATGAATTTATTTTGTAAAGATTTTTATTTGAAAAAAAATTTTATTTTTATTTTTTATTCTTTTATCAATTTTTTATTCTTTACTTCTATTTTCTAGAAAAGATTTTTTTAAAATAAAAACCAGTGAAATTAAATAAAAAAACCAAAAAATAAAAATAAAAAAAGAAAACCTACGATTCGAGTAAGGTCAACGTACAGGTCAAGGGTCAGAACATGGATCTGGGTGTGCCAAAATGCTATTGTTTTGGACTAGTATAAAAGCCAAATTACCTACATTTTCTTCATAAGCTCGGTCCCCTCTCTCTCTAACCTACAAACTCTCTTTCTTCTCTTTAAACACTTCCCAAAAATTCAACCAAAAATTGGAGTTTTTGTTAGTTTTTGGGAAATTGGCTAGAATCCTACCGAAAAATTCAAATTTTCGCCAGAAAATTCATTAACAAATTCAACCGTTCTTCAAAAAACTCAGATTTTCAAAAATTTCCAAAAAACCCCCAAAATTTGCCAAAAACCCAAATTTCGATCCAATAATCCCAAACAAAAATCCAAAATCCAAATCCTTCCAAAATCTTAGTCCCAATCCTCGTAAACTTAGCTCTAAACCCAAAAGCTTAAATCCAAACCTAGAATCGAATTCCTAGAAGTTTCCCTTACTAACCAAAATTTTCCAAAATACCCAGTTTGTCACTTTTCCAAAAATCCTTCCCCTTGTAATCCTGAATCCATTATTTCCCAAAAATTAACTATTTTTTTTCTAAAATTCCCTGTCCTTCAATTTATAAGCATCTTGAAAACAATTTTTTTGGGAACGAACAGAATCAATCCTAGTATTCAAGCTCGGATTGGTTTTGTCCAAGCATGATTCATGGTTAGATTTTTGCTGGCTTATCTGGATTAAATGAAAATCCCTTGATTTGGGTTATGATTGATCCTTTGACCAAATTCAATTCCAGATTTTCAATTTTGATCACTGGTTAGAAAAAAATCAACAAAAAATAAATGAAAATAATGATGATGATGATAATAATAATAACAATAATAATAATAATAATATGATATAATACTATACAATGTATAAATAATAACATGATAATAATAATATAATAAAAATAATAAAATACAATCCAATTGACCCCGAACACAATTCGATTAACCCCAAACACAGATAGGTGTCTACAATAGCCAAAGGGACCAGGCCTTGAAGCATACTGGAGGTCCAAGTTGTGGGAAACCAGCCTAGAATAATGGTGCGGGTAGTGATCAAGACTCTAGAGGCTCAGGAAAAGTGTTCAGGTTTGGCAGGATTGAGCCAAGCCCAAAGGCAAGCACTAGTGTGTGATGCGCGGGCACCCAATTAGACCCGGGCAGGAGCACTGCTGATCGAGGTGTGGGTGCATGGTCGGGCCTAGGTGCGGGTATGCCTGAACACAGACTTGAAATAATTAGAGTTGGCAACATTGAGTCGAACCCAAATGTGGGCACGAGTATAAGCCCAAGCACAGGCGGTGCTGAGCACGGGCTTGGAACTAGCCAGGATAGATTCCCACTCAAATTAGATCCAAGATGCTAAGAATATGTTGCAGCATTATATCCCCTAGAAAGGCTGTATCATATCTCCTAGAATCATGAAATTTAAACTATTGTAATATCTAGAGTTTAGGCATGTATCTTGGAACTAATTGTAAGGCGACTCAACTATAAATAGAGAGTTCCCCACCCTCATGTACATCACTAGAACCATTGAGTAATAAGATTCATACTCTTGTCTTAATCCTTTCTATTGTTCTTTTGTTAGCCTTTCTTCAGGCACTTGCTGTGTCCTTTTGTTTTGCAGCATATTGGGCGGTGAAGCCCGCAGTCTAGTACACAAGTCTGAAAGGACAATTGTGTCTACATTTTGCAAAAAACCGTTTTGTCATGTCCAAAGAATGTGATATCGAAACTGAAGCATTTGCAAAGATGCAAAGACTTAAACTACTTCAGCTAGACCATGCAAAACTTAAAGGAGACTTCAAAAACTTCCCCAAAGGCTTAATATGGTTGCGCTTGCATGGATTTCCTCTACAATCTCTTCCAACGGATTTTGATATTAAGAGGCTTGTTGTTCTTGACATGCGCAACAGTAGACTAAAACATATTTGAAAGGATACTGAGGTATGATAACCGCTAAGTTTTATATCTTTTTTTCTGAAGCAATAACACATTTGTAAAAAGAGATATCTTTTTTCTTTTCTACGGTGTCTTCCAAATTTGAAGATCCTTAATCTTAATCATTCACATGACCTTCTCAAAACCCCAAACTTTTCAGGACTCCCAAGCCTTGAGAAGTTGATGCTCAAAGATTACATAAAGTTGATTGAGGTTGATCGATCCACTGGTGAGCTAAAGACACTTACTTTTCTAAACCTTAAAGGTTGCAAAAATCTTATGAAACTTCCAAGGACACTTGGTTTGCTATTGTCACTTGAAGTGCTTATTTTATCTGGTTGCTCAAGACTTCATGATGTTCCTAGAGAGTTGCTGAATATGAATCATTAAGAGTGCTTAATTTAGATGAAACAGCCATATGTCAATCAAAACAGTGGATGTTTTGGCTATCATTGAAAAGAAGCAAAGAATTGGGTTTGTTTTGGGCATCTTTACCATGCTTTTTGGTAAAGTTGAGTCTTGAAAGTTGCAGACTATCTGCTTATGTTATACCTAATGATCTTAGCAGTAGCCTTGCAAATCTTGATGAAATTTTATTGACTTCTTGCTCAGAGCTCCAACTGATTCCAAAGCTTCCAATATTCAGTCCACTCATTGAGATTTACGTGGCATTGTCTCCATTAGCGCTCGGGCTGTCAAGTCTACCATGCTTAATGTCTTTTAAAAGATGTATTATTTTTGGATGTGAAAAGCTGACTGAGGTTGAAGGTGTGTTCAAGTTGGAACCAACTGAAAACTTTCAAGTGGAACAGATTAAAAACACATTCAACAATGATTCTATTGACAGTAATAAAGTACAACTTTTTAACTACCTGACAGACACAAAAATAGTTGCTACCTTACAGGTCTTTTCCCCATCTCTTTAAGTTTTTATATCTTTTTTTTTCATTTTTTTGTATGCTTTTTTTACTTGATCAATATATTTCGAATGAACTAACAATTTCGATGGAACAGGTACTACATGAATGTGGCATAACTAGCACATTTATTCCAGGAAGTGAGGTTCCAATCGGGTTTGAGCATCACTCTAAAGGGCCTCAGATCGCTTTTTCTTTACCAACAACATCTCATCCATGTGAAAAGATTAGCTGCTTCAACTTATGCATCGTTTTTTCTCTCGTTAGTGATCAGATTTTTGAATCTCTACCTTGTGTGTATATTATTAACAAGACCAAGGGGGTCATGAGGGCTTATTACTCAAATTTCTTTGGTATTCCTGAAACCAATAATAACACATTATTGTGGTTAATCCATTGGCCAGCAATGGGTTTCAGTTGGAAGGTGGCAATTCTCTGAGATGTTCAGTATCAAATTTTCATCTCAATGTAAGAGAAATAGGCCTTAAATGTGGATCAGAAAACAAAATTAGATATGAATCAAATTTTCGACACTACTATCAAGGTATGAGTAAGATTGCAAAGAATACTATTTAATCTTTTTTTTTTTTGGCCAAAGTTTTATATATAAACAACACATTATTTATCCCATCTTTTAGGCAACGAAAATGTAACAAGAAATATCGAGTTGGAACTAACTGAAGACTTAGTTTGGACACTTATGAAAATGTTAAAATGCAAATTTACAATTGTTCAGATGAATCAGAAATGGTTTCTTTCCCACATTTCCCTTTTCACTTTTCAAGTTTTTCACTTTATATTTTACCACTATTTTTTGTTACTTTATATATTACCACTATTTTTTGTTTTCTTTTTTTTTTTTTATAACTCATTCTATAATTCCATGCTACAGGTATTACACGATTTTGGGATAATTACAGCTTTTGATCCAATTAATGATGTGCCATTTTATGGAGCTGGCAGGCCTAAGGTTTCAATTACAACGCCCCCCCAAAATCTAGTCAAAAGATTGGCTGGGTAAAATCGATTATCATTCTTTCTGCCAACAATGATGAAACAAATGAATTTTTGCCACGAATTGAAATCGTGAACGAGACCAAAGGTACAAAGTGGACCTATTCTAAACATTTTATTGGAATTCGTGAAACCAAGAACATCTTAATCTGGTTAACTAGTTGGAAATTTAGGGGCGATGAAGTAGAAGCTGGTGATCATATCAGCCTTACGCTGCTTTCGGATTTATGTGTAATACAATCTGGTATTGACTTCATATATGATTATGAGCCAGATGACAAGGGCAACTCTCTTGATCAATTGCGATGGATGAGTAAATGTTCTAGTTTTCTTTCTGCGTCCTTCATTTATGTTTTGTTTAAATCCCAAAGAACCTTGTATCGGATGCAGAGTTCTTGATGTTGGAGTTCAACCAAAAGCAAATTTTCTTGCAATTTTGGAGACTGTTGTAACAATGTTTTTTGGATTCTCAATATTTCTGTTCCTATGCCTTAAAAATTGAAATTGATTCTCTTGGGAAACTGATTGTGCCCTTAGCTTCATGATTAGCGGACACGTCCCGAGTAGTATTTCAGCTCCACAGTTCTTCGTTTCATTAAATTGGGTGGAGTGATTGACCCACAAACCGATTGGCAATGTATTTGCTTGATTTTCCTTTTCGTATAAATTGGTGTGGAATGATAGACGTACGGCCAAAATTATAATGGGATCCAACTCATTTTCCAATGATAATTAAGTCCTGATTTTCTCTCCTCGCAAAGCATCCAGTCATTTTCAGGTCAAGAAAAGAAAAGCAAAGTCTGATATTGAGAAATTGGCAAAAGTCTAGGTCATACTAATTATATATTCAAGTTATTTTACATTATATTCGTCCAATGATCGGGTAACTCGTCCACGTCCAAAGGAACGCTAGATATTTGAGAAGAGGTTTGAATAAAAATATTAGATTCATTGGATGAGTCCAGATTAAAATGAGATCCATTTAAAATTCAGGCCTAGTTTTAGTTCTAATTTTAAGATTGGAGCCCGATTTGACTTGAATCGATAGTTATATATTATAAATATATACTATAATATATACTTAATATTAATAAATAAGTAATGTCAAACAACATTTGAAAGAAAGTATTTTAAAATGTATTAATTCAAAATAATAATATTTTTTGCATTATTTGAATAAATATTTTCTAGAAATAAATTTTGACTATTGACATTTGATGTAAAAAAATAATTATATAAAAGAATATTAATAATATTAACTATTATGATAGACAAAGAAAATATATAAAGAAAAATACAATATGAGTATTATTAAATTTGTAAAAATGTATTGATTTTACAAAATAATATAAAAATATATATTTTAAATTAAGTTTTTTAAGTTAGAAGTAAAAAATAATGTTTTGTTTGGTAACTTTATATTTTAGATGGATCACAATGAGAGAGAATTTGGAAAAATAATCTATTTTGGTGGATTCTGAAACCATTTAAAATTCTCTCTAAATTTTCAAATTCCTCATTTTACATTATCAAACAAGTCAATTTATTACTAAAATTTTACAGGTTAGTAGCACTTATAGTCTCTAAACTTTGACTTAAATTTTATTTTGATTTTTAATGTTTAAAAATTTTTGTTAAATCTCTAATTACTCAAAATTGTCCTATTTTGATCCTTGTATCCATAGAACCCTCTAAATTAACGATAAATACCAGCTATCACCATGTAATGACATCAGTTGTCACTCATATGGCAAAAAAATATTAAAATAAAAATCTCTCAAAGTTTAAGAACCAAATATAAAATTATCATAAAATTTTTTATCTTCATACATATTTTATAAAAATATTAAATTTAAAATTATATTTTTATATTTTTTATTGTAATATAACTTATTAGTTAAATTTTTTGTTTTCACTAGAAAACAGATATTTAAAACTTAAAATTAAGTTAAAATTTTCAAATACATTCTTTTAAAAATTAAATACATTTTAAAAACAAAAAAATAATTTTTTAATAAAAATATTATTTTAACAACACAAATGGATTGGTAATAATTAGCTCTCTCTCTAAAAAAATAATTCCCCTTTCAATGTTTCTTCCGAATGATTTTGACCCAAATATGTTCCATTTATTGGTTACTTAGATTGCAAAATCCCTTGTGAAGAGTGGACACATAATCTACTAGCAAACAATCTCCTTCTTTACTTTGTGTTTCCTCTAATCTGATTTTCAAGACATCATCTTGGACCGATACAGATTGAGACTGCTTTAAGCTTTCCATGGATGTAACTGAGATTCATTTTGTCAAAATTGGCATGTGACAAACAACTCCCTGCATGAAAATGCAATGATACATGAGACATATAATAAGAAGTTTAAACAATTACAACCTATTCCTTCCATGTGTCCCTATGTGTTTTAGGACAATTTTTAATAATGCATGGTAATGGCTTTATCTTAAGATAGGCTTCTTAGGTCATTTATATGCTGGGTTACAATAACAAGCTAAAAGTTTCCAAATTATTCCTCACTATTGTCTGTCATAACGTCTAGATCCAGGGATCTATCGCTAGACATTGACTTAAGGAGTCGCCACTAATCTTTTTTATCTAGGTGCGATTGGCCACCTAAGGAATCTATACTTTCAGGGAACACCTAAGTTTAAGGGTCCCTAAAAGAATAGGTTCGGGTCTACTAACCAGAACAAGGTTCAGGAGTTCGATTACGTGTGATAAAGGTTATAGCATCCTCACAATGCCCATCAAAAGATGATACCAGCTTAATTTTGTGTTATCCAATAAGCCTTAAAAATTTACCAAATAATTAATTATTAGAAATTATTCTCAATTGACTCTAATACTTTTAGCAAAAAATTGAAAAAATTCCCTCACCTCAAGAGTATGCAAGAAAACTACTGTTTCACTTGCAGAGGCTCCATCGTTGGATTATTTAACATTAAAAAAAATTCAAGAAAATAAAAAGGAAAAAAAAATTATTGCTTTTGTACAGGAAAAATTGATACTTTCAACTTTTCTTCAAAATCCATTTTTGAAAACTTATTTTTAAGAAAAATTGATACTTTTAACTTTTCCTCAAAAATCCATTTTTGAAAACTTATTTTTAAGCAAAATTGATACTTTCAACTTTTTTCCAAAAATATTTTTTTTTAGAAAGCTTATTTTCAAGGAAAATTGATGAAAAATTGATACTTTCAACTTTTTCTCAAAAATATTTTTTAGAAAGCTTATTTTTAAGGAAAATTGATACTTTCAACTTTTCCTCAAAAATGTTTTTTTGAATTTTATTTAAAGAAAATAAAATAATAAAATAAAAATAAAAATAAGAATAAAATAAAATAAAAATAAAAAATATATTAAAAAAATCTAATCTAATAATAATAATAATAATAAATAATAATAATAATAAAAAAAAAACCTGAGAATGGCTCCACTTAGCGGCTCGGCTCGGCTCGACTTGAGGAAGAAAAATGGCTTAAAAACGCTGCTCACTAGGTTAACGGCTCAGAGACGAGGGTCGCACGCGGGTCAAAAGTGGGTTGGCGCTCAGGTCGGGTCGAATCTTGGCAAAACGCGCGGATCTTTTGGGAATAGTAACGTCAAAACAATGTCATTTTCGACGGGTATAAAAGGCTAATCCTTCTGTTTTTCAGCAGATTTTTCCTCCCCTCTCTTTCTTCCTTTCCTTTCATCTCCCTTCTCTTTAAACCACGAAGAACTCCGGTTGAATCTCGTCGATTCTGGAAATTTTCATCAGAATCTAGGTTTTTCACCGGAAGTTCACCAAAAAACTGATCAGTTTCTGGAAATAGTCGTCGAAAACTGGAAAGTTGGCCGAAAAATTCAAACTTGGCTGAAAAGTCACCGAAAAATTCAACCTTCGTCGAAAAATTCAACTGGAATCTGAAAATTTTTTAAAAATTTCTAGAAAAAAATTCACAAAAAATTCTCCAAAAATTTCCAACCGATTCCTAGAACTATTCTAACCCACAAAAACCTTTTTTAGCTTCCCTGTTTTATTTGTGTCTGTATTTTTCTGTGTGTTTTCTTCTGTTCTTCCAACACCTATTTATAGGGATTGATCAGAAGAGTTTCTGATCAATCCCAACTCTTTCTGGGATTTGGATTCAATCTTTGAATCTAATCCTAACTCTGTCAATTCCAAATTACAGCTAAATTCATTCCAATTTTTTTATCCTAATCTTAATCGAAAATTAATCAAAATAAAAAAATAAATATATTAATAGATAACAAAAAAAATAATTAGATAAATAAAAGAAATAGATAAATAATAATAAAAAATAAAAGTAGATAAATAATAAAAATATTAATAGATAAAAATAAAAAAATAAAAAAAATATATTAAATAATGAAAATAAAAAAAAGCCCATTGGGGCCAGCTAAGTGGATCCTAAATCGGGTCCAATGGGCTTAGACCCAAATCCTATTGGACCAAGCCCATTAGGCTTGGGTCCGGACTAAATAGGGTGTCTACAACTGCCCCTC